TTGTCGAAGAGTTTTGGATTAATGCTTCCATTGTTGAGCTGAATTCTGAATGTGCTATTATTTCTAAAGTAACATGTGTTTCTATAACAGTAACCTCTAAAGTGATTGATAATGTGATCAATTATGAGGAAACTGGAGAAATCCCATGAACTCTTATTTGGGAACACTATCTTCCTACTTGGTGTATCTTTATAGATCCATATAATACATCAGTGGTCTCGAATCTCCATCTTGATGTTGTTGTTTGGAATCAAATTTTGAATTCAAACTTACTTTCTAAGGATAAGGATTTAGACCTTGTGGACCCTATTAATAAAAGATTTGCTTCTACTTATCAGCTCATACTTGCAGATTGATCTTCCTCAAGTTATGTTTGACTATTTGAAGAAGACTCTTTCTTCCTTTCACAAGGGAAAGATTTTCTTCATTCCTTTTGGACGAGTTCTTTCAGAATTACTTGTTCAATAGGGAGTTATCATAAGTTCATAGGCTGATTTGTCTAAAATCTAGAGAGACAAGTTTAAAGTTATATATGAATGATTTTGATGTTAGATTTATTCATAGTTATGCCTTGTAATTGTTAGAACCTTTGTATTAAGTTACCTTATTATTAATTCAAAATTTGTCCATGTTGTTGTTCAGTTAACTATTGATTATATTTATTTAGGGTTGTTCAATAGAATCAAAAGTAATGGGTGTAAGAACTTAATGTTTTCAACTTTTGTCATTAATAAGATGGAAGGTATTACAAATTATTTAGACATTCTAGTCTGTTGGATTGGCATAAGGTATTCCGTAGGATCATCTGACATGCCCGGATTATCTAAGTAGCCTTATCACCCTTCCTTGTCAAATTTCGAAGCCTCATTTCTCAATTGATTTATGCGTCTGGATCCAGAAGATCTTTTTCTTCTGTGTGTCTTCATAAAGAATGTTGAAGAGGTGAGAGCTTATGAAGTCGTCTGCTTGCTAGTAGATCCTTCAACTGCTACTTTGCTTTCACTTACCTGAGTTGCTGCATTCAGTATGGTTGTCTTTCTAAAATCTCTCTTTGGAACCCAAATTTGCTTCTGTTTGTATATCTTGGTGTTTAAGGATAAATTATTTATGGAAGTAAGCCTGCTATGAGTTTTTATATGAACGTGTTATATACATTGTTCCAAGTATCTGTTGTTTTAATATTGATTAAGTCTTATTAATATATTAAATCATATATCTTGGAAATGTTATATAGCAGTCTAAACTATTAAAGATTCTTTAACGACTATGAATATTGTACTTAACCAGTTTAACTGTTGTTTCTGGTGTTAATTTTACTTCATTAATGTCTTTAAATAAATCTAAAGGAAGTTATTGAAAGTATTTGCATGCAATGAACAAAATTTGGTCAAAAAGATGCTTTTTCATTAATTGAAGCAGGGGATTACAAAACATTGATAAGGAACTGCTAATTCTTAATATAGGTCCCTATCTAAGTCATCCTGAGCCTTATGACGAACAATTTTCATAGCCTATGTCTAACTTATCTTCGTCAATGTCTTCATCTTCTACCTCTGAGATTGGACGATAAAACAACTTGTTGGATCGTCTTCTCTTCTTTGATCTCTTCATTATCTTTATTTTGGGTTTCATCACACCTTCTGATGAACCTACTCTTGTAGGTTGTGTTAGAGATGCTGACGTTGCTTCTTCAAAAGTGAGTCTTGCAGAGAGCACATGCCCAGTGGTAGATGATTCAAAAACAACTCGTTTCTGAACATTCTGGACGTCTTGTCACATAGAGCTCTGGGAGATTTCTATTACTACAGAAGTATTATGACTCTGGTGGATTTTGATGAAAATGGACTAGGTTTGGACTGCTTTTATAATGAATTTTGAGCAACTCAAATGACTGATTTAGTTCTGCTTGATTCTTGGAATAGTAACGACCACTAAAAATTGAAGGCATGCACTATACAATCCTTAATGACTCCGTGTTATTTGATAGTTTTTCAATTCCCTGGAAACTGATCTTGTAATGATGATATGTGATGCATTTATGACTATAATTATTTTCTTCTTCTTCTCTTTTTATTTTCTTTTTGATGTGACAAAAGGGGAAGAAATAATGCTAAGTATATAATTAGAAATTGAACCCAATGAGTACCTATTCAGTTGTAAATATTGGTCATTTATAATTTTGTTATTTATATTTTTGTTTTTATGGTTATCTTGCCCGAGCGACACATTTTAACTTTCTTGTACATAGAACTAAGGATGAGATTACAAATCTCAACCTTGAAACTGTTTGACTCAGGAGGAGCTTACAAACCTTAAACTCTGGTGTTAGTAAGAAAACTGAATTACTTTTTCTTGAGAGTAGCACCTAGTATGATGTCTACAGAACTCTGCTTTGGACTATTAGACTCTGGAGGAGCTTACAAACCTCATACCTTGATGTTGCAAAGAAAATTATAACTACCCAACATTGTCCCTTAAATACATGTGTTTGTCATCATCAAAAAGAGGGATATTGTTAGAACAAGATTTGTTCATGACATATTTTCCTTGGGTTTTGATGATAACAAAGTATTGAAACAAAAATGGTTTATTTGATGTGTGTTACATGTGTCTACACTTAATGAATAAAAATTGACTTCTAGTACCATTCAAAGTTGGTGATAAAGCTTAAGTTGTCTGTACTGCAAAAAGCAAGATGTATTGTCAAATCAGTTTGTCAACTAGAGTCTACAGATTGCAAGGCTCAAGAAAGGTTGAGATGCTTTATGGATATCTACTTTCAACGGCTCTAATAGTATAAAATATCATGAAGACTCAAAGGTTACACGTTGAGTTAAGATCTTCTGGTGTATCTATCTTCAACGACACTTGTACTATGGAGTAACAACAAAGATTCTTGATCAAGTTACCTCATCAACGACTAGTAAGAAGAAGTAACAATAAGGAGTAACAATCTTTCTACCGAAAATATTTTTTAATAATTCTTTTGGGCCTTCTATCAATGTGTAAAATTATTTAAGAATTTCTTAAAGCACACTATATGTTTTTAATACACCACGCGAAATTCCAAATATGCCTCCCATTTTCGGAGATGCGTCTCTGGACGCACCCAATACACACTCAACAAAGGAAATTATGGGTTACACATTTTCTTTTGATTTAATTTATTCCAAAGATGCATCTCCGAATTCATTATGTAGTTACATCTCTAGACGCACCCAACACTCACTCAATAAAGGTCATTTTGAGCTACACCTTTTCTTTTAGTTTAGTTTATTCCGGAGATGCATCTCTGAATTCATTTCGTAGTTACATCTCCAGATTCACACCACAAACAGATTCAACAGATCCAAAATAAAATTAACATTCATAACATAAAATAATCATTATAATGATGATTTCAATAGAAAATTCAATATTACGTTTCAATATTCCAGTGGGCGCTTGCACATCTTCAGGATATCTTCGAATGATCTTTGTATTGTTGCTTCCAACTCGAGCATAACTTTCTCATCTAAACCTAAAAACGTATCCCACATAGCCATAACATTTGCTTGCGCCTTGAGCTCAAACTTGGTGAACTGAAGTTTTCCTCTGTTGTCAATCGAAGGTGAACGATACTCGAGCTTCACAATCTTTCGATTGTCTCTGTAAGGTAGGAGATCGTGGATTTCGTCTTTGATATCTTCGAGGGGGTGAAGTCGTTAAGCTTAATTGTTCGCCCGAGTGTAGAGCCGGAGAAGGACACATTTGCGACATACCAATCAATTTTTATTCGTGACATTTGAGACATTTTGAGTTTATGTAAAATATAGCACTAGAGCCCCTAAATTTATAGAAGACAAAGATCAATTTGGATCACTCATCAACTGACATATTGATTTCAGAGATATATCTTCAGAAGTGCACCCTATTATCTTGTTTCGGAGATACATCTCCGGAACTTCTTATGAACCAATTTCAAAACAGAACACAAACATAACCTATTTATTTTAATTGAACAAAAACACACATGTTGTTATGGGGTAGATAAAAAATGCATAAAAATAAAATATGAACAAAAGGTGAATAGATAACACTTCATTTATATAGAGACACATTTACATACAATTACTTGTGTGGTTAAACAAGAAATTAAAACGAATCGAAACAACGTTCGAAGAAACAATTTGTTTTGGGAAAACATCGGGGTGCATAATATCTATTGAAAATAATTAAAACAAATTCAACAACATTAGTTCAACTGCTGCTGCAGAATGACTGGAAAAATGAACATAGACAACTTCCGAAAATGCATCTCCGGACAAGTTCATATACGTTCTGAAGATACACTTCTGAACATAGCGTAAGTTTTTTAAAAAAATACTGATGATTAATGTGAGCAATGTAGAAGGAAAAGAATAATCTTTACCTGGAATTTTATCTTCTTTTACTCCCTGTGATATGTTGAATCAAAAGGATGGAGATTTTGAGTGAAAAAATAGATTGAGAATAAAGGGTTTTTAGGGTGATAGGTTTGGTAAAAAACTTTGTATTTCAACAATGGAGGAGTGATCATGCAGCTGAGTCATATATCAGACATTTTCGGAGATGCCTGACATGCAAATGTGACAGAAAATTTTAAAATATTGCCCATAACTTTGGAGATGCATCTTCGAAATATCTATTGAAGTGAATAATTAAAATATTTTTTTTAAAATGTTTCGAAGATATATTTTCAGAATAAAATTAATCCAATATATAGGAGCTTCCGAAAATATATCACCAAAATCGGAGGATATATATAAAAATTCAGTATATAAGGTGTAATAAGAATTTAATAAGAACAAAATTGTCATGATAGATTACAACTCTAATGGGCCGGGCTTATTGAAAGTCAAGCCCACAGTAGAATCTTCTGCTTCACGGAGCACCGGCTTCATCTTCTGTAAATTAGGGTTTACAATTTCTTCATTGTTTTTCTTCAATTTCTCTGAAGTTCGTTCACCAATCTTCCAACAATGACGAAACATGATAATGAACGAAACTATAATCTCGAAGAGAAGAAGAAACGAATGGCCATGACGAAGAATAAGAAGAGGAATGTTTCAAGGTTGGGTGGAAGTGGACTTTCGCTTGACGCTTTCGCTAATGCCAAATCCAATAACAGTCAATATAATCCATCTCTCATAAGTATGCAATTTTCTCTTCTTCTTTCAGCATCCTTCATAGTTTATTTTCGTGTATACCGGATTTGTTACTGATTTGAGTTATAGTTTATGAAATTTGCTTTATAGAGAAAGGAAATAGTAGAAGAGAAATTAGGGTTTTCTGTTTCGTTTGAGTTGTTAGTTTTTACCAACGGAGGTTTGGGAAAAGCAAATTGCAATCCATTAGTTGGGAGTGGTTATCACTGCAATTGAATTATTAGGTTAATATAGTAGTGTAGTACCGTTTTCTTTTGGTTATTTTGTTGAGTATGAGAAATGATGAAGAAAATATTATCTTTGATGCCTAATTAGATCCTCAGTTTAGAAAGAGGAAAATGATGCTAGCTATGCTAATTTTGGTGTTAGCTTTCTTAAGAATACCGCAAAGTTATTAATCCCAGATAACAGGAGCGGCTGACCCTAAAAATGAGATAGTAGGATAGGGGATAGCGGGATAACTTTTTGGACTAATTATATGAATAAGCTACCTATATGTTTAATGTTTATTAAATAACTTTTTGGACTAATTATATGAAAAAACAACCTGAAAACGAATAGAAAAACAATGAATTGAGAAGAACAGCATAGAGAACAAAATAGAAAAGAAGAAAACAGAAGTAGAGAAGAAGAAAAATAGAAGAAGAATAGAGAGAAGCTTGAAGCAGCTTAGGCGGAGGAGGAGTTAGGGCTAGAGAAGCAGCGAGCGAAAAATGCGAGATGCAACCAACAGAAGAAACGCGATGGAAAAAGGTGAAAACGCGAATAAGAGAGGAGAAAACACTAACAACTATAATAAATTTTCCAATTTTAAATTTTTTGTAAGGGTAAAAAGATCTTTTTGCACTCCAAAAAAGCCCTAAAAGCAGAAAACCGCTCCAGGCCGGGAAGCTCTCTGCTCCCACAACCCGCTATCCCAGCTTTCCTGGCTGCTATCCAAAACTGGGATTGCGCGCTGCCGCTGCTCCTCCGTAGAGGAGGGTTGCCGCACCAGGTGAGAATCCCGTGATAGCGCCTAGAGTGGCCGCTATTAATAACTCTGGAATCCGTTAGATGAGTTTCTCTTTGGTCTGTTATGTATGGATTGATGGACTAGAATTGAGCTGAATGGAATGGAGTTGAGCTTAGTGGAATGGAAATTGGATTCCATTCCATTGTTTGTGTATTTTTTATAATTTGACCGAACAGAGCAAGTTGGTTCATTTTGGATTTGCAAATAAAATTACCACTCCGCTGTTTGGATGTTTATATAATGGAACAGAGAAAAGTTTGATCCCTTACAACATGCGCTCAAATTCGAGTTTAAGAAAAAGTGGAATATTGGATGTAATGGAAATTGAGCGTGTTTAAAATATTTTAGCAGGGAAGCATAATGCCATTTCATGAAATTGCACTCCATTCTGTCCTTTAACATATCCTGTTATTCTTTTTTTTGTTGACAATTCCACCTTCTTGGGCAATTATTTTTACTAAACTCCTTTCCCAAGTTACGTATCAAATTTCCTCTTTGTGATTGTATATTTATATTTGTTTTATAAATGCATATTTTTTGGTCTTAGTTATTTTATACACCACTAAGATTATTGGTCTAAATGTGAGGGGAACATATGGCCCTTATTGCCTCCATTGTATCCAGTGCACTCCTATGAATCTAAACTTAATTAGAGTCTATCAGGATACCGTAAGTGTTATCAAATATCGGTGCCATGGCCGTTATGTTGGATATACGTGGTGGTTTTTGTCCTCGCCACAATGGTAAATATCAGCCGATATTGCGGGTTTTTCCACCATAATCCGCTTTAATGGCGCTGAAAAGTGGCCGGTAAGGCAGGATTTTGGCTATCCGCCATGGACTGCCATCTGCCACCATGGACAGGCTTCAAGTGTGGATATTTAATTGTTTTAACACTTCCCATGTAAAATTGTAAGATTCATGGAGTTATTTGATTAGACACATGGAAATGTTATAAAGCCAATGTGGTTAATGAACCCAATTTAATTGGTGCTTTCAGTTCATGTCAAAAAGGATATATTTTGTTGGTGTTTCTAGTTTCCATGTTATATTAGTTCTTCTCCTCCCAGTTTCTTCCAACATTGGTATTCATTCTTATTTAGATTCCAATTCTATAATAAGTCATACCTAGCATTGACAAGCATTCACAGGAGGATGATTTCACAATTTGAACTAGTTATCTCCTATCATGTAATTACATTTCAGTGGTTTTATGTCAAGTCTCTCTTTCGAAGGAGAAGGGAGATGTTGGGCTTCAAATAAAAAGAATGGAAGTACTAGTAGACCATATGAATTAAGTTCTTCTTTCCTTAGATTGTAGAATTTGTGTTAATCATGTCTTTTGTGAAGCTAATAAGATTCCCGGTGATTATGCTATTTCGGGGGTGCTCTTTTGCTGATTATTTGGTTATGGAGCAGTCTCACTTCTCTGTCAAGGAGTTGTTACTTGCTGATGTTTTCAGAGCTTCTACTCTAAATATAGTTTCCGTCTAATTTTGCTTCCTTGGGCTCTGGCTTTTTCCTTAAAAAAATAAAAAATAAACCGAGACAATAAGTATAGTACGTTTTACATTGGCATCTAGCCTCTAGAGATAGTTCATGTGGTTTGGTTTTTTGTTTTATCAACATAATTAAATTTATGTGTGATAGACAAACTGTAATTCTCAGAGTTGGTTTTTTCAAAATATTTGATGAATAAAAATACATCAAAAACTTATTTCTTTCGGTGCTTTCCGAATATAATTTGTTCTCAAGATGCTACATTTTCTGATTTCATGTGGCTCTTTAAGGCATTTTTTTCCTGTCATGACAGGGATATACTGTTTTTAAGGTTTTGGACCCTTACCCGATTCTGAATACATTCTACCAGTTCTTATATGAACTTATGATTTAGGATGAGAATAAAGATCGGCCATATCTAACTGAAGTTCCTTTTTCATGTTAAATAAGTCAGTACATGCTTGTCATGGTTGTTCTTTTTTCTTTTCTTTCAGAGAAGCAAAGGGAGTTATACAAGAATGCCAAGAATGTGCAGAAGTACAAGAAGATGCTAAAGCAGCATAACCAGCATAATGATCCCTCGGTGGCCCAAAGACATGTTGAGGTTTCATATCCTATTTGCTGCTTGCCGTGAAATTGTTCTTTTTACTTGTCTATAGGTCAAGACCTGCCTAATACGTCATATCCGCATTTATCTAGTCATGCGGAGCTGTTGTGGTGGCCTGAGCCTTAACGTTGATCTATCTAATCAACAAAATACTCTAGAATCTTTATTGTTTTTGCGTACTATTCATGTTCCTTTGTGCTTGCTGTTGCAGAATTTGAATGAAACTGAAGCAAACAACAACGACGACAAGAATGAGAGGAGGAAGAGGAAGAAGGATAGTGCTTTTAGTTTGGAAGAATTATACAAGAAACAGCATGAAGAAAAAGAGAAAGAAAGAATGGAGAGGGAAGCAATTTTCCAAGAAAAGAAAGAACAGAGAGAAAAAGCCGAAGCTCACAGAAAAACTTTACGGCAAAAAATGCTTAAGAAAACACGAAAAGGACAACCTGTCATGAAATACAGAATTGAACATCTTTTGGAGACAATTCAAAGCTCAACTAAAAATGCAGCTGGCAACTAATCCTAACTAGTGGAATAGAGAAGGGCCAAATGCAGACAGATAACATCTACATCACTTGAATTTCGAGCATTATAATACTGTTTTTACATAGAGCTGTTATTCATCAGAATTCTGTTACCGACATTCGCCTGTATTTATCCGGTTGTATCAAATTTTGCACTTTAATTTATACCGTTGTATTAATGCCACAACTCTAGTAAATAAAACCAAGTTTGCAAATAAAATCATTTATGTAAACAATTTTCCAGAACACAAGATATAATACAGAGTAGGGAAACCAAAATAATAACAATAAACATTATTTTTTGATTGATATTGGCCATAACTTTAGCAAAAAAAGTTACACTTCAAAGGTTTCAACAAAATCAGGGTACATGATTCGAAACATACAATTACATCAAATAGAAGAAGATTAAGATCAATAGAAATTGTTGTTGAGTCTTGTATCATAACAAGAGAATGAAGGTTGTTGAGTAGAGTGGAGGAAGAAGGTCAACAAGGGTAACGACAAACCACAAGTCTCCTCTTAGGCTGTGGAGAACATATGAACATAAAAATAATAGCAAGAAGTAGCACCATCAGAAGTCCTGTGAAATCAATACATAACTCCTTGCACGCCATCACTAATTCTTGTGTAGAAAATGAAACAAAGACTAAACAAGTAAACGTGAGTATGGTTTTATTTATTTATAATAAAACGAGTCTCTTCTAACTTATATATATTGACTTGAACATGATATTTCCAAGTCTTTTTTAATTGTGTTTATCACGAAGTTTCTTGAGTTAGGAACTTTCAAGGTTCTGTGAGTTTCAATATTTTTGGCCGAATGAAAGACTATGAATCAGGACTGGGTTGGGTTAAGTTTTACAAGGTCTAATAATTATTTAGTTAAAAATTTAAAGAAAAACTCATATTTATTTTAAATTTTAAAAACTTTTTTTTATAGTTTGTAATAAAACATAATTGGTTAATTATATTAATTTAAATTTTTTATAGATTTATAAATATCAATAATTTTGTATCATTGTTAAGGGTTAGACAGGAGATTTATCTATATGATACCAATTTTTTAAATAATTTTTATTTTGTTTTCTTCTTCATTGGTAATAATTTATTTAATATGCTCTGATTTCAGCCATGTTTGTAAATTATTAAATTAAAGATAATTCATTTTTTTAATTTTCAAATATCAAAGTATCCCCATCAGAAATATTCCAAGATCAATCCATCTCAACCACAAGTTTAACATTTAGTTAGTTAAGTTGACTTACTATGTTTTTTTTTTTTTTACTTTCATTTAATCTTACCAACCAAATCAAAAAATTAAACTTTGAAAAAGTTAAAATAGACACGTTAATATACAAAGATATTTTTGAAAACTCTACATATGTATTTAATTTAAACATTTTTGTTAATATAAATAAATAAAAATTAAAACAAAGGACGGTGGATTTGATTATGATAAATTTAAATTGATAATGACTTTTCTTTAGACAACGAAAAAAACAAAAATATTAAGCACAAGTTGAGCTGTATAGAGTCACGCAAAAGTCCACTGATGAAATTTAAAGTTCTCTCTTATTGGTAAAAAAGTGCTTTTATATATATATATTCTTTTTATTATTTTTAACATATATGGATATTTTTGAAAAAAGTTTTAGATATTTATAATTTGAATGAAAACTTTTAGATATTTATAATTTGAATGAAAACATATATGAATATTTATTAACACGGATTTCACTTTTTTTTTTCATATACAAAAGTACTTGAGATGATAAGAAATTTTTAACTTTTGGAACTCAAACTTAATTTTAAAAAGTAAAATATTATTTTTTGAATTAAATTATTAATCTTTACGCATGTATGCAGATGTCACCAAATTCAATTAAATTATTAATCTTTACGCATGTATGCAGATGTCACCAAATTTATGTCAAATATTATCCGATTGATAATTTCAATTTTATATCTACCATATAAGAATATTTTATATTCTGGAAATTAAATCAACGCCTTTCTGCCTTCTCAAGCTTTCACATGGCTATCTTAACTAAGTTTTGTCGCGATGCGAAAAATACGTGCATCGCACGCTCGATGATACAACAAAATCTCCACCAAACTTATGTTAGAAGTGAAAAATTAGTGACCTCATGCTATCTTGCACTTTAATTTGCAGTGGCTATTAGTGATTGATTTCTTATGATGTTTGATGAATTCAAAACATGTTTAAAATTAGAATGAGATTGGTATTGTTATTGTGTTGAACTAGAAATGAATTTGGAAATCAGTAACTGATTTGAAGTTAGTGGAGTTAAGGAAAGACAAAGGTGATGAAAATTATATCTAACTATTACTAGAAACTTGTAGGCTATTATGAGAAAAGTGCTAGAACCTTGTTGGTTATGCTAGTAAACCACTGATAAAATGCTGTTAGAATTTAGAAAGAATTGAATCTGAAGTTCGTCAGAACTAGAAATTGTGTGATGCCATGTTATTTTATTGTCATGTGAGCGTAGATGTTTGGATGCATTGGTGTGTGTATTGGTTTGAGTATGTGCTTATGTATTAACTTTTTAATCTTGTAGGTTCATTGTGCATAATGATGAAATGAGGCAAGGTTTGATCAAATCATGGAAAAATCATTGAGGAAACTTGAAGACCAAGATAAGATGGTTTGTGGAGGAAGGAATTGAAGGACTTAGGGTTAGAGTTAAAAGTTGACTTTGGTCAACTGATTAACCAAAAAGTCAACTATAGGTCAAAATTTTAGTTTGTGTATGTATTTTCATGATTTGGATTTGATGTTATAACGAATGATGACTTGTAATGTTTGAAAGTTTGTAATGAAATTGGTCTCTCTTGAAAGGCAATGTGGCTTGATTCTTAAGAAATAACTATTTCCCAATTAACATGCTTGAACTTGTCTTTAGTATATGAATGAATGTTGAAATCAACTATCGTGTTTTTAAATAGAATCAAAGCCCATAATAATTGCAAAGTAACCTCATAAGGAAAAGGTCAACTTTGAGGTTGACTTTGTTTGACCAAGGTCAAAACCTGAGAATAGCTTCCCAATCTCAATGCCATGATGTAGTCTTAACAACCAACATATCACAACCCAAGGATTAGGGTTCCACCAGCATTGATCCATAAGAAATGAATCAAACATCACTGTTGTGCTTATGATCCATAATGCCAAGATGAAGCAGAATGACTATAAGCTTGCAAATCATAATTGAGGGTCTTGTATCTTAAACAACAAGAAACCTTTAAATCAAGGATTATTATTTGAAAGATGAAGTTGATAATGAATGTGTTATGATGGATGATTAGGACATGTGGTTATGCAGATGCAATAAGCAATAAGCCTGAAAAAAAATTGGAGAAGGGGGGGCAAATTTTGGAGTATGACATTTGCTCTTATTTATTCATCTTGGACCTAAATGTACAGATAGTGATAGCTTTTCGGCCATTCAAGGTAGAAGAGGATTAAATATAAGAATATCCAAAAATTTGTCCATTGACAGTGGACTGGATGTAATGTAAGGAAGGTAAGTGCATATGGGATTTGGAATGGTAGACAAACTTCTGTAGGTTTATCTGTTGGGGATTGACCGAAATGTTCTATTGGGGAAATAGATCGACATGGACGAGTGTTGGATAGTGATTAACAGGGACGAGTGTCAGAGGTAAACACAAACGAGTATTGAAAATATAAGATTAGCATGAGTGAATGTTGGGAATCAGTACGGACGAGTACTGAGAAGGTAATGTCAACACAGATGAGTGTTCAAAATCAATACAGACGAGTATTGCAAAAGGTAAAATCAACACGCGAAAATGTTAGAAATCAATGCAGATGAGTACTAAAAAGGTAAGATTAACACGAATGAGTGTTGCAAATCAATACAGACAAGTACTAAAGAGAGAATGTTAACATAGACGAGTGTTAAGAATTAACACAGACGAGTATTGAAAAAAAGGGTGTCAACATGAACTAGTATAGAGAATCAATACAAACGAGTATTGAAAAAGATATGTGTCAATACGAATGAATGTTGAGAATCAATACAGATGAGAGTTGGAAAAGGAGGTTACAACACAGACGAGTGTTGAGAATCAATATGGACGAGTATTGAAAAATGCAATACCAACATTGATGAGTGTTAGAAAAGAAAAGGCCAACACGGGCGAGTGTTGGGGATCAATTTAAAAAAGTATTGAAAAGGCAATACCAACACGGACGAGTGTTGGAAAATAAAGGCCAACACGAACGAGTGCTAGGGATCAATACGGGTGAGTATTGAAGAGTTTAATATCAACACGAACGAGTGTTGGGGATCAATATGGACGAGTATTAAAAAGGTAATACCAACACGGACGAGTGTTAAAAAAGAAAGGCCAACACGAACGAGTGTTAGGGATCAATACAAACGAATATTGAAAAGAGAGTATCAACATAGATGAATGTTGGGAAGAAATACTGACGAGTATTGAAAATGTTTAGAGTCAACACAAACGAGCGTTTGGAATCAATACAGACGAGTACTAAAAAGATAATGTCAACAAAGACAAGCCTTGCGATCAATATAGACGAGTATTGAGAAGATATGATCAACACAGACAAGTGTTGAGAAGATATGATCAACACAGACAAGTGTTGGGGATTAATACAGACGAGTATTCAAAAAAAAGGGTATACCAACAGAGACGAGTGTTGGAATCAATACAAACAAGTACTAAAAAGTTAGAATCAACACGGATGGGTGTTAGGAATCAATATAGACAAGTATCTAAAAGATATGATCAACACAGACAAGTGTTAGGAATCAATATGGACGAGTATTGAAAAGAAGTAAGGTTAACATAAACGAGTGTTGGGAGCCAAATAAGAACGAGTATTGAAAAGAAGTATGCCAGCACAGATGGGTGTCAGAAGTAGAATTCCTCATGCAAAAGGCTGAGGTAACTTGAAAAAGGAAAAAGAACATCATGA